TTTATCGATAAGCTTTTTTTCTATATCGCCCAGCCCTAGTATTGATTGCATGTATTGTTGAGTGCATGGACTAGCTTTTTCAGAAAACCGACATTAACGTGTTTAAAGTTTTGTTCATCTAATTTCATAATTGGATTTGTGGAAAACTGAATTTTTGTTTTTCATCTGTTGCGGTTAATCAAACACTTTAAATATATCAAGAGAACTTACACTAAATAGAGTGATTTAAATCACTTTTCTTCTTGCTGATGTTGTGATTTTAATTAAGCTGCTCTTGTAACTGTGAACATAAAGTTGCCATTGTATGCTCTGCCATATGAAGACCTGACCTTGTCCAACCTGAGGAAATCTATTGGCTGTTTTGTCTTATAACAAATGTGTCTTTAGATGGTTTGTCTTTTTTTTTTTTGAATAGCTTGAACAGCTGCATGTTCTAACAGTGACACACTCAAACATACAAATGTTGAATTTCTGAACCATAATTTGTAGAACACTAGATCCAGATTGAATCATTGTCTTCAACAAAGAATCCACAGTCAAACATACACTTCAAATCCTGCAAAATGCAATTTAGACTTGAAGAAAACAAAAGTATGCCAAGCAATCTGGCCCATTAGATTAGGTAGATTAGCTCAGTATGTGTTTTTATTGAAGACCTGCAGTTAGTGACCTAGAGGCTGTACTCTGTATCAGGCATGGGCTGGTTTGCGATTCTTAATATGTTTTTTAACCTTCACCAATGATACAAAGATTTCACTGTATTTACATACTTATTTTCAAGAAAGCTTTAAACTAAAATAATAAATTTTTCATTGAAAGGGGCTACATTATGATATAACACTATTCTCTAATCATTCTCTAATCAAAATCATGCTAAAAGCAGTATTTTGCTTGATTCATGCATCGCTGAGTAATCCTCATAAATTCTGCCTGCTGAGCAGCAGCTTGTTCCTGTGTTGGAAAAATAAGTAGCTAAGACAAGTATATGTAGAGCTTATGTTACCCTACTCACCTTGACAGTGCCATCCCTCCCCAGGAAATAACACGCCTACTTTCGCTGTGAAGCGAGCGGTGATGTAGAGCAGAAAGTGAAAATCTTTGCTCAGAATGAACAAAGTGGCTGTTTTAGCAGCTAACCTGTGCACTGACAGTATCTTTTCTTTCTTTAGCTAGTTTAATACGTTTGGGATATTTATTTTTTTTTTGGCTAAAGAAGAACCTGATCCAACACGAGGCATGATGCTAAGCAGCTGCTCGAGAGTGTGTTTTACATTAATGTCTGGGGCGCTGTTTGTAAAGTTAAGCTGTCATAAATTATGAGCAATATTTATGACCATTTAGTGTGTTTTAGGAGAAAAATAAGGGATTTATTTTTTCCATGTCATTTTTTCACTATGTCATTGATTCATTTATAAAAATCAAATTTTGTTAAATAAAAAATTTATTTTGGAGCTAAATATTTAGTTTGAAAATTAAATATTTTGTTTATTAAATAAATATTTAGCTTCAAACTAAATATTTACTTTTTAAATACACATTTAGCTCAAAACTAAATATTTTGTTTGTTAAATAAATATTTAACTCCAAACTACATATTAATTTGCAAACTAAATATTTAGTTTGTTATATAAATATTTAGCTTAAAACTAAATACTTAGTTTGAAAATTACATTTTTACTTTTTAAATACATATTTAGCTCCAAACTAAATATTTAGTTTGGAGCTAAATATTTATTTAACAAAGTAAGATTTTTATAAATGAATGAATGACATAGTAAAAAAAAAATTAACTGTCAAAAAATAACTCCCTTATTTTTTTCCTAAAACGCACAAAATAACCATAAAGATTGCTCCTCATTTTTGAGTGCGTAACTTCACAAACGGCTCGTATAAAATAATAGAATTCGATATATATTTTTCTTGTTCTGTTACACATTGTTACACTGTCATTATAATTGGAAATTTGAAGGTTTATATCGTAAAACATATCCATCAAAGCTATAATTTCTCAGCGTTAAATATTTAAATGAAGCACACCCTTTTCTGAAAAAAACATTCTTTGTTTTATCGTTAAACTTTTGTCTGCTAGCTCAGGCAATGATGCTGTGAATTCCAGCTCTCTTATTGGTGAACATGTTGAGAAGAAGACTTGTTAGGAACCAAATGTGTAACTTTGCCTGCAGGCTGAATTATCACGGTATTCACAAACACAGGAGAGTCCATCTTGTACCTCTCCTGCTTCAACTGTTCGAGAACCCCAAACAGATCAGCCAATCATGTCGCAGTATTATGGTTTAAGGCGGGACATGTTGCTGTGATCATATCTGTAAAAATCTACAATTTAATTTTTAAAAGAGGAAAAGCAAGAACATAAGGCATAAGTTGTTGTTGTTTCTTATAGTTGTTTCTATTGCCTTTGTTACCCTGATTGGCTAAAACCAAACCTTTGTAGGCGGGGACTTGGTGTTCACCCAATCATCTCGGAAAGGTTCTGCGGAATGTCTCTCCTTCCCCTGAACAGATTTGATGGGAACATCCTCACATAATGTGTGGAACTAAACATTAGTGCCCTTGTCCTTGGACTGAGAAACTAAACCAAGATCAGATAAGAGAAAACGGAGAAACTGTTGGAGGAATCTGAAACCATTTCTATACCAAACTGAGACTCTAAACAAATGTGCAAAAAAACAATGGATCAGAAATATTGGGGTGGATGAAGATAGAGTAGAGCATTGAG